GAGGGGACCATTGTTCCTCCCTCCGCCCACCCCTGGCTCCCTGCCCCTCGCCCCCCGCTCTCCAACCCCACGCGTCCCCGCTGCCTGGAGTCCGGGGACGCGGAGTGGAGGACTTGCCAAAGGGGGAGTCATGGTGGTGAGGGTAGAGGGATGGAGTGGGAACACCTGGGCGGGCAAGGGCGGTTCTTGCCGCCCCCACTCGCCTCACCCCTCCCTGACCTGGAGCAGGCAGACTTTGAAGCAAATCATATGTAAAGCTGGAAAAATCCCTGTATGCGTTTGACCAAATCCTTTGTGGCCTCGGGAAATCTCCCAGAGCCCAGATTTCTCATCTCTGATTTGGAATCAGGGACTCCGCTGTGAATTGGGGGATGTTCCACTGACAGACTCTGGGGATAGGGGGGAGGTGGCAGGACTGAGACTCGGTAATGCTCAATGGTTAGGGAATCAACCTGGGTTCAACAGGAGGTGGCCCCACCTCCACCCAAGCAGCCCAGATTCTGTCGGAGCCCAGATTTACTCATCTGGAAAACATACCTGTGCTGACCTCACAGAACTCTTGAGAGTTTTGGCTGAGCTGATGCATGTAAGTTGCCTAGGCATAAATGAATGTAAGGGGTAAAGTAAGTTCTCAATAAATATGTGCTATTGTTTTCAAGTTTAGTGTCTTAGAATCTAGACTTTTGGTCCTACAATCATAGGCTCATCAATGCAAAAGGAATCATTACTGACTGCGTAAGTCAGGCCTGGAGTTCAAATTCTTTTGGAAGGCTGTGTGACCTTAGGCAAGTGAGTCCACCTCTCTGGGCCTCAGCTATTTCATTATTTTCTGTAAAAACATGTGAAGCTCTGGGGGTGGAGCCTGGGATTTTATGGTCTCAGAACTTTAGAATCCTTGCCTTAGAATCCAATACTCACATCATTGTCTTGAGAACCCTAGAGTTCTGGAAGCTGAGTATCTAAGATCAGAAATGGACTTTTGGTAACTGACTATTGATTCTACCCCCTTCTGGGGCTTGAAGCTAAAATTAACATTCTTTTGATTTCATCCTTTAGGAATTGTTTAATCAGTTCCAGTGAGCAGGTATTATTTCTTTTATAGTATTTTTTAACCACATTTTTTCCAGCCCCATAAACTAGAGAAAAAATACAAAGCTAATAATCCTTACAGGGATCTTGCTACTATCAGTGATGGAGATCTCACTACCTTACCAGGCAGCTGGGATTTGTGAGGTGCTGAAATGTGCCCTCTGTGTGTTCACTGGCTTTGGTGCTGGATCTCCATGAGGCCTCTGTCTCCCTGCAGTGTCTGGGCCTGGATGAGGAGCCAAGGCTCAAATTCCGGGAGCAACTCCTGCTTAACTTGCCTCAGCCCTGGGCTGAGCTCACTCAGCTTGCTTTCTGACCTTGCCCACACTCTCACCTCTGCCTGGACCACTCTATCACCCATCTTCACTTATCTTTATCTCCTTTCCAGCTTTCAGTTTGGAGAGAGGACATTGGTGAATGTTCCCGGTCAACTGCAATGGCTTGGCTTTAATGCCTCCTCCTCCAGAAAGCCCTCCTTGATCTCCCCCTTCCCAGCTCCTGAACTGAAAGTCATCCTCTACCTCTGGAGCTCCAATGGCTTCTTATCTGAGCCTTCTGGTGACGGACAGAGACAGCAATCTGAACACTTCCTGCCATGCCTCATTATAGGCACTTACACAGAGCTTTACAGGCAGAATCTTGGTTGACGGAATGTCCCTGGGGTCAGGTACCAGACTAGCTTTCTCTGCTCCAGGCCTAGATCTCTCTGTCATGAGCACAGACTCACTGAGCCCATAGCAACCCTGAGTTGGAGGCATCATTCTTACCCCATTTCACACAGGTGAACACTGAGGCTCAGAGAGGTGACACACACACCCAGTCATGTGGCAAATAAGTGGCAGATCTGGGACTAAAATCTGGGTCTGCTGGATTGTAAAACACAAGCCCAAACCATTGTGTGGCTCTGCCATGGTCCCCACATGGGCCTGGAGCCCTTGGAACAGGGCCTGGCGCTCCTTGCCCTCTGCTGTGTGCTCCATACTCAGCAGGGGACCTGGCTCAGGGTGGGTGCTCCTGGATGTGGAAGGCCAAGGCCTTTGTCCATGGTCTTGGCATCAAATAGATTTGGACTGCAATCCCAGTTCTGCCCTGTGGTAGCTGTGTGGCTGTGGGCAAGTCACTGCACTTCTCTGGGCCTTAAATTTCCCATCTGTAAGTGGGCACAAGAAGGCTGTCACTGCCCAGTGATGAGGAGAGAAGTCCAAGACCTCATTCATGTAAAGAGCTCAGAACCATCTCCCTTCCAGTGCCAGCAGCTAGCACAGGGCTCTGCACACAGTAGGCAATCAAAATGTTCTACCGTATTATTGTGGTTATCATCATTATTTCAAAACTGCACTTTCAATATTCCCAGTGCCCAGGACAAATTAAGCTTATGAGAAATGTGAGCTGTGCCCATTATCTGTGATGAAGAACTGAGTCATCCTGTCCTGCTCCCCACCTCCCAGCACCAGCACATGCTCAGAGACCAAGTGGGATTGGAGCCGGTCTTCACATGGAGACACACTTGGGGCCCTGTCCAGCTGGCAGCTGGATGAAGTCTAGTAGTAACAAACATTGGGATGTCCTGAGTTTAGGGCCAGGAGAGAATGATGGCAGGTGTGGGAAGAAGATTCCAGGAGTGAAAGCAGACCCCACACACTGCCCTGACCCCTAGACCCTCTCCTCTGGGAACAGACAGTGAGGTCTGACACCTAACAAGGCCAGAAAAGGCCTGTGACCTTCCCAGAATAGGCTCTGGGCCCTCCAGTGTCCCCTGCCCAGTCCCCCTTACCTTCACGTAGTCCCCACCAGCCTCTGGCTCTCCAGTGGCCCTGGAAGAAGAGAAGAGAGGTGAGGTCCCCAGCCCTGCCTGGCTCCCGAGCTGCCAGCCTCTGGCCACCTACCTGGTGCCAGCATCTGGCCCCTGGGCCCCAGAGGGCTCAGCCTAGAGGCAGGAGGGGGCACCACAGCTGATAGCACTTGCTGGAATCTGCTGGCTGGGCTGCTCCTCCACTCTCCAGCTGTGTGACCCTGGGCAAGTCCCTTCACCTCTCTGAACCTGGGTTTCCTATTGTAAATCAGACTACTGATAGTCTCTGCCTCACTGAGTCATCTCAGGGACTCTGGGAGCTGAAGAATGTTACAGCCTTAACACGGGGCCTGCTTTCTGAATCACTGTCTTTGCCAGCTTCAGGACATTGTGCTGTCCTGGTGTTCCCTTTCCACCCCTCCCTGACTCCAAACACTGGGGACCCCAGTCTGGGCCTCAGTCTCCTCTCCTCCTGCCCTACACTCACTCCCTAGTGCACAGTGACCCACTCGGCCGCACACCATGGAGCCACTGCTGGTGACAGTTGGCTGCCAACTTACTCCCCTCTGCCTTCAGGGGTGGCTAAGATGGGGCCTGGAAAGGCCAGAGGTGAGGGTGGCTGTTTTTCCCAGGTGCCAAACAAATATCCTCCTTTCTAGTGAGAGTCTCCATGAGCCACATCCCCCAGTCCTTGGCCTTAAATGCCATTCCTTCTCTGATGCAGCTTGGACCTGCCCCTTCCACACCAGACTCGTAAACCCAGCTGCCTCCTTAGCATCTCCTCTTGGGTGTCTGAAGTCATCTGACTTGCCACGTTCAAAGCAGGATTGCTGATTCCCTCTACCCCACACCATGCCCTTGCTCCCCACATCCGCTTCCCATCTCAGTTGATGTCAGCTTCGTCCTTCTTGTTGCTTTGTTTGGCCAAAAACCCTGCGGTCCTCTCTGCCTCCTCTCTCACTCATACTCCACACCCAGTCCATCAGGAAATCCTGCGGCTCTACTTTCAAAATAGATCCTGACCACTTCTCTCCGAGTGTCAACCCTGCCCCATCTGGGACACTCTCTGTGTCCTCCATGGAGCACACAGCAGCCTTCTCACCATGCCTACTCTCCACACTCTCTGTCAGCCTACTCTCCACTGCCAGGAGGGTGGCACACATTTGTTCCCATCTCTCAAAGAACTATATCCAAACCCTGCTCCATGGCCTAAAAATGGCTGGCCATGCAACTTATCATCCAAACCAGGATTTTTCTTCCCTTGTGAGAGTAAAGAAGGTGCCATTTTTATGCCAGAAAAAAAGTGTAAACTGGCTTATGCTTTCCCCAACCTACAAGGCTCTGTCTGGCCTGGTGGTACCTGACTGCCCACCTTGTCAACTCCCACCACCAAAACATGCCTCCCTCCCTCATTCTGTCCATATTGGCCTCCTTGCCAAGCTCATTCTTGCCACATGGCCTTTGCACTTGCTGTTCCTTTGCCTGGAATGCTCTCCCCCCAGATTGTCCCACAGCTTGCCTCTCCCCCTACTTTATTTAGGGCTCTGCTTAGTGTCCCCAACTCAGAGAAGCCTTCCTTGACTACCCTATGTAGAACAGTCCCTTATCCTTCACTCCCTGTCCTCAACTCTGCTTTGTTTTCCTCAATCTCTGCCTGAAATGATCACTTTACATTTATTTGTTGATTGTTAATCACTTAACTCCTCCACGAGGGCACTGACTTTGTCTTGTTCACTGTTGAGCCCCTGGCACAGTGCCTGGCACATTGTAGGAGCTCAAGAACTATTTATTGTTTAAGGAATGTATGAATAGTAAACACTCAACCAGTATTAATCACTATCGACATTAATTATCTGAGGCTGGGCCCTGGTTCTCTGGTTGGTACGAGCCTCAGTATTCCCATCTGCAAAATAGGGAGAGAGGTCCCACATCAGGGAACTGCTTCCTCAGATACAGAAGCCCAATATTTAAATTTAAATGTGATAAATCTTTAAAAAATTACTTTAAAATAACAACAAAAAAGCTGAGCTAAAAACAAAATGAAACAAAAACTGTGGGTGAGATGTGTGTTTCCAGACAGAATTCTACACAGGGGTACCCCCAGTTCCTGAGGCCAGGGGTTCCTTGCTGAGAAGCTGTCTGACAGTCCTCCCTGTTCTGACATTCTAGAGTCCCCGCTGCTAGCCTGCTCTGCTGCAAAGTCCTTCCTGACCTCTAACCACAGTCTCTCAAGCTGCAGCCCAGCCACAGCAGGCTCCCAAAGCGTCTGGGTTCTTTCTGAACAGCAGCAGTGGGAGTGAGGTGGAGTAGGGACCCCTCCTCTCCGCTCACCTCTGCTGCTCTTCCTGGGTGAGGTGTCCCATCCCAGCGTTTCCGGCTATTCAAGCCCGGAAATCCTCCCTGGGAACAGATTGGCCAGGACACTGGGATCGCCCCAGCACTTCCTCCTGCTTCCTGTCCACTTCCCCTCAGGCTCTGGGTGGGAGAGGGCCTTGGGGAGGAGATGCCTGCACCAGGGATCAGGGGGGCTGAGATGGCCAGAGCCAAGGCGGGTGCTCAGACAGAGGCCCCAGCCCAGGAAGCTGAAGGTCTGGAGCCATAGTCAGCCCCCATCGCCTCTCCCTGCCCCTCTACAACACTCCACGATTTCTAAGACATAACATAGCCATGTCTGCTCACAACCCACTGTCACCTCTTGCCCAGGCCACCACCACCATAGTCTTGTGGACAAGCCACCACCTCATTTCTGCCTCCCTGCTGTCACCTGCACTTTTATGACTTGTTCTCACCCCAGCAGCTAAGCAGTCCTGTTAAAATGAAAGTCAGATCACAACTTTCCTCTGCTCCAACCCACTGGAGCGACCCCTAGTTTCACTCCGATTAAGAGCAGAAGTCCTGATAACAGATTGCACACACTGACGCCTCACCACCTCTCTCACTCCACTCCCCCCATGTAGCTCCAGCCAAGCTGGGCTGCTTGCTGGCTTTTGTCCCCACCTTGCTGGCCTTTGCATTTCCTATTCCCCCTGCTGGAATATTTTCCCTCCAGATAGCCACTGAGTCCCCGCCCCTCCCTCCTTCAGGTCTTTACTAAAATGATCCCTTCTCAGTGAGGCCCTCCCTGGCCACGCATCTGAAAGTGCGGCCTTCTCAGTGCTGCCCACCTCCCTGCCCTCCTTAGTTCTCCATAGCACTTCGTCTGACTTGCCATGCGCTGACTATCTCCTCTCTCCAGAACATCAGCTCCACAAGGGCAGAGGTTGGGATTTGCTAGGACAGTGCCAGGCACCCCATAAAGACTGTTTTGAATGAATGAATGTCATGGCAGCCCCTGCAACTCTGCGGGCTAGTTCTCTGGATCAGCCCTCTGTGCCTGGGCCACTGCTGGCCACCCCTCCTCTCTTCCTTAGGTCTTCTTTGCACTCTGGCCTCACACGTCCTCCAAATAGTTCTACTCCCTCCAGCCTCAGGACCCTTGCACATGATGTTCCCTCTGTCTAGTACCTCCTCCCCCTCGAGCCAGAGTAATTCTTACAGAGCCTGCAGATCTCACTTTGCTCGGAAATTTCTCAAAAATTCTCCCTCCCTTTGTAATGATCAAATCCAGGAGTCAAAGCTTCCATTGAAAAAACTCAGCTCCATTAATTAATTAATTAATTTCTTATTTTATGGATTTAAAAGGCACTTCCCCTCTACTATTAGTGGTGAAATCAATTAATAAATAATAGTGATAATCGAGCGAAATCAGTTACATTAATCAGTTGCATTAATTATTTAATCAACCCCTTTAATTGCCTATATTAGCTGATTTGTCCTTATAACTGATACCACTTATTGCATACATTAGCTTAATTAACTGAATTAATGAGCAGTAATTAGACCCCTTTATCTTTTATTTCCCCAATGCAGGTTTCAGTCTGAGTTTTACCTTCTGGGCCTCCATCCTGGTCCAGAAGAGAGGGTGAGGACCCTGGAGGAGAGGCTGCTGTCCTGTTTCACCCTGGCCCTCCCTCGCCACAGGCAGTCTTGCCCTGCAGAGCTCCGCTGCCTGCCTCCCCTTTGTCCCACAGTTACTCCCCTGGGGCCTCTGGGTCTGGTCATATGGCCTTGAGTGAAGATTTCCCCAGCCTCTGCCTTCTGCTTCTCAGCTTTCCCCCTGCCCTCCCCTCTCTGAGCGTCAACTTTCTCACCTGTGAAATGGGCATATTTTAACTCTTTTCCCAGAGGGGTCACAAGGGTCCTATGAGAAGGAAGTTTCCTTAGCCCCCGTAGCTCCCCTCACTGCCCCAGTCCCCACCCCTGGAGATCTCGCATCCTGCCCTCCAGAGGGGGAGGTGGCTGAAGATTTTCTCCCTCCTTCACTTTGACCTTCACTAACCTTGGACAGAGAAGCAACCCTGCCCTGTGCTCCTTAGTCCTTAAAGGCCCTGAGCAGAGAGAGCTGGGGTGGAAAGCCCCATCTCTCTGGAGTCACTCCAGGGACACCCCACGATGGGGCCTTTGGGATTCCCTGCCAGGAAGGCCCTTGGCTTTTGCTTCTGCCCTGCCCCGTCTCCTGTAAGATGGGCCACCACTGTCCTGGAGACATCCTGCTCCTCTCCACCATTCTGTGCCCTCAGTCTTCTTGACAGGGGTGAGCTCCCCAGCAGAGCTCAGAAAGGGTGCCAGCCCCGTGAGAAGAGGGCAGATCAGGGGCCAGCCTTCCCAGGGCAGAGCTAAGAGTCTGAGTCCCAAGAGCTGCTTGCTGAGACCCAGCACCTGCTGGAAAGAAGCAAAATGGGAAGGTGTGTGTGCTGACTGAATGCCTATATGGAAGCCCCTCTTTATAGGCGAGAAAATTGCATCTTGTGACTTGACTCAGGACACACAGCTTCTCAGAGGAGACCTGAGTTGGCTCTGGTTTGTTCCTTGCATGAGGCGGGCTCCCCCAGAAAATGGGGACTGATCCTGCATGGAGATGGGGAGATGCTGGGGAGGGGAGGGCAAAGAAAAATAATATCTCAGCCAGACCAGGAGCCCAGAATCAACATCAGGAAAAGGAAATGGAGCAGGAATGGACAGTGGGGAGACCCTCTGGGGCTCTGGAGAGGGCCCTCAGCTGGGATGGAGGAGGCTGTGTGACCCTGGGCAAGTCCCCCTCATTGGGCCTCAGTTTCCTCCTCTTTAAAAGGGTGTGGAGATAGCATACCCAGCTCCTGTGTACTGGTACTTCCTGGGGTCAAGTGCAGGATAAATGCTCTATCTGGTCTAGTCCTCATAGTGACCTTGGGAAGCAGGTGCTGGTATTGTCCCCCATTTACAGATGGGGAAACTGAGGGTCAGAGAGGGGAAAGGAGATGTTCAATATTGTAAAGATAGTCAGCAGGCCTCTGAGCTGTGGATGTATCCGACCCCTATCCTCCCCGGCTTTCACCCCATACAAATCCAGTATTCTGTGAATGGGGTCCCCTGAGGGTATGAGGGGATGTGGCTCCAGCTGGGGTTGGGGGGAACCGTCCATCTTTCCCGAGCCAGCGCAGTTCCCACAGCCTGAGGCGTCTGGGGGTCTCGAGGGCTGTGAGAAAGTCTCCACAGGAAATGAGAGCCAGGAGCAGCTGGGCCCCTTCGGAAGACAAGGACCAGCCGCCCAGAGCCTGAGGAGGCTGAACAGGCTGGGCCCACCACAGCCCCCTCCCCCAGTGGGTAATCAGTACCAGATGCCCAGCAGCTGACGTCACTTTGCAGGGCCGAGAGGGTCGTGGGACTCTGGGGAGTGTTGGGAATTCTTGGACCAGAATCAACATTCCAAAAGGAAATGGGGCGGGGGCGAGTGTCTTGGCCCGTTCTCAGTGCCTGGCACCAGGGCTGGCGCACGGGCAACACGGGGTGCTCCCAGTTCTCCTGTGGGGTTCCACCTTCTCCAAGACCCAGTTTCCTTCTGAACAGCCCTGGGAGTGGCAGTGGAGGGGCCTGGGTCCCTGGGAGGGAGGAAAGGATGCTCGGGTGAGACACTTTAGAATCAGTAGAACTGCAGTCAAATCCTCCTCAAAGGAGAAGTTCTCGTAAAACATAAGACAGACTGGGGCCCTCCTCTGCTCAAGGCCAGAAACGGCTGCCGTCTCACTCAGAATCAAAGCCAGGTCCTTGCTGGGCCTTCCAAGCCTTACTTATCTGAATCCATTTCCTCTCTGGCCTCATTTCCACCACTCCTCTCCCCAGCCCCCATCTTGCTCTATTCCAGACACTCAAGTCTCTGCTGCTCCTCAAACATGCCAAGAACGCTCCTACCTCAGGGCCTTTGTACCTGCTGTTCCCTAGCCTGGCACACACCCTTCCTCAGATATCAAGAGGGTTTATTTCCAGTACACCCAAAGCTAACATGATATCGTACCTCAACTATATTTCAATTAAAAAGAAAAGGTCTGTTCCCTCATCTCCTTTGCTCAAACATCAGTTTCTCACTGAGACTTTTTTCCTATCTAAACTTCCTAGATTATCTCCACTAGCCACTACCCCCCAAGACCAGTTCCCTAATTTGATTTAAATCTTTCTCTGTAGAGCTTTTTTCTGGCTGTTCATATAATTCATTTTTCTTGTTTATCATCTATCTCCCCACACTGGAATGGGGGCTCTAGGAGAGCAAGGGTTTGTCTCCCCAGAACCTAGAAGAGTGACTAGAGCATAGTTGCATCTCAGTAAATATTTAAATGAATGAAATTCCAACACAACTGTGTCATCTTGAGCAGGGTATTAACCTCACAAAACCTCAATGTCTTCATCTGTAAAATGAGCTCCTACTACTGCCTTTCCAGGGAACTATGGGAAGACATTTGAAATAATGGTAGAAACAGCACTGAGACTTTTACTTGCTGGAGGTGAAATGTGGTCTAGTGGTTAAGAGCTTGGGCTTGGGAGTTGATCAGGTTGGAACAAAATCTAGGCTCTGACACTTAATCTCTCTGTGACCTCAGGAAAGTCCCTTCCCCTCTCTGAACCTCAGTCTTCTCACTGGTGAAATGCAGCAAATAGAGCCTCTCCCCTCATAGGGCTTGTATGGTACATGGCACCTACGGGGTGTTCCACGTGGGGCCTGGCCAGTTGTCCTCTGATGGGACTCTGGCCTGACAATTCCTCTGTGTGGGTGTGGGGTGTTGGGGGACCTCTCTTCCCTCTCTGAGCCTCTGCTTCCTCCTCTATAACAAGCACTGAAGGGTAGAGTATCAGGGCTCTCTGGACCCACTATTTCCCTGCAGAAGGCTGAGGGTGCTAGGGGGTGGGAGGAGGCTAGGCTGGTGCTCTCCTTTTTGGGAGCGAAAGGCCTTTATTCCCTGTACTATTGGCCCCTCCTCCCTCCTTCCTCCTCATTCCCCATGATCTCAGCAAGGAACAGGGCACCAGGAAACTCCTGCAGCCTCACCTCTTCCCCTTCCTTCCTTCTGCTCCAGGTGCACCCTGCTTCCCAGAGGGTAGGGGAGGTTCACATCTCCCCCGCTTAGACTGCTCCCTGAACAGCCACTGGGATGACCCTCTTGGGACACTCAGGAATGAGGTCCCCAGTCTTAGTGGCAATTCTCAGATGCCCTCTTCCCCAAGATGGATGGATCTTCAGAGACCATCCCAGGCCCATCTTGGCTGCCAGGGAGACTGAGGCCCAGATTAGGGCAGGGCAAGCCTGAGGTCACATAGGCAAAGCAGCTCCCCTGACTTCAGTACAGAGCTGGGCTTCCCGGGCTCCTAGAAGAAATGTTCAGCAATTCCTGGCCTCCTACTTGGCCCAGAGGTCAGGTGGGACACTGGGTCCTAGGCCACCAGAAAGGGGTTCAATCTGATCTTCTAACCCCACCCCCCTCTGGACTCCTGGACACTCCAGATGATTAGAGGTGGGGAGGGAGAGTTCCTCTATTTCCCCCATCAGTTCTAGGCCAGGCCTGATGTCAGAGGCACTGCCAGGACCATCTCTGCCCACTAGAGAAGAAAGCTAGGTCCCAGACTCGGCATTCTCAAGGTCTTTCAAGACCTGCTGGAGGGGAAGGGTTGCCTAGTCGTTGAAGGCCTGGCCAAGAAGGTTTACTTTAAACCCTGGTTCTGACTTTCACTAGCTGTGTCAAACTAGACAAGTAACCTCTCTTTCTTCATCTGTAATATGGAGATGATAAGTGTCTCTCTTCTGGGACTGTTGTGATGGGAAGATGCCCAACCTGTGCCGGGACAAGGCAGAGACAGAGTTACACCACAAGAAAGTTTAAAAGTCCCTGATGCTTTACTCTCATTTAGGTTTGTCAGCTGCCCCAGGGGCATGGGTTTCCCTCTCAGGCCACTCTCTTTCCGGCCCTCCTCGGTCCCAGCTCCGATACTCACCCTCTGGGTCCCAGTGCGGGGCATCTTCGGCCCACTGCAGTCATGGTTCCCTGTCGTCGCCGCCTGCAGCCTGGGGACCTCCTCAGCTCGACTGCTCCCAGTTTTCTCAGGCAACGGAGAAGCAGAGCTCCGAGCCGATTCCGGAGGAGGAGCCTGGCCTGTAGGCCACGCCCCAGGCACGCCCTCCGCCCTCCCCCGGCAGCGCTCCACCGCGTACTCCTCCCTCTGGGAAGGACAAGCCCCGCTTCGGACACGCCCTCCGCCTCCTGTCTCGCTCCGCCCTCTCCCCGTCTATCAGTGTCGGGGACGTGAAGGCCACACCCCGGAGCGCACACTTCCCCCTCGCCCCGCCCCTCACCAAGACCAACTTCCCCACCCGTTCCAGCGCTGTCTGGAAAGGCCACGCCCCTAGACACGCCCACCACCCCGCTGCTCCCTGCTTCTGTAAACTCACAGTGCACTTCTCAAACTTTCGGTTACCTCAGGACGCTCCAGAACCTATGAGGCCCTCTCCCCTACGTACAGTCCTTGCTCCACGCCTGAATGAAGCCGAAATTAAGAGGGGAATGGCTAAAGAAGGCAGTCTGGAGCAGCCAGAGATAGTGGAAAAGCATTAGTTTAATCAATCATAAATGTAAACATTCCCATTTACTTAGTGTTTATGGTGTGCCAGGCACTGTGCTGAGATTTTACAAATACGTTATTGTTGAGTTCTCACCACAACCCTACAAGGTAGGTGCTATCGTTATGCCCATTTATCAGATGAGAAAACTGAAGCTGGGAGAAGGGAACAGACTTGTCCAAGGTCATGCAGTCCGTAAGAGGCAGGAATCTGGTCTGGATGCACTCTGCAGCTTTACAAGGTCCTGCTCCCCACCAAAGAGGGGTCTAGACCAATTACCCCAGCACACAGAAACTGTCTTTGGTGTTTCAGGGCGAAGCCACGCAAGAGAGGTTCCAGAACCAACCCTAGAGTTACTTTTACTCAGATTTATTTTCCTCCTCTTTATTTCAATAGGTATATCTGACAGATGTGGTTTAGACAAAGGCTCTGAGGGTTGAAAAGCCGGGGACTGAAGGGTCTCCCAAGGGCATGAAGTGCATGGATGCAGGGCTCAGAAGATTGTAGGTACAATGTGGTGGGTGAGTGTGCAGCCACTGGAGGCAGGCATATTCCTGCTCAAGTCCCAGCTCTGCAACCTTGGCTGAGTCTGTTTCCCCATCTTCCAGATGGGGATAATAGTATAATCTTTTACAGAGTTCTCAGTGAGTCATATTTGTTTTGACACCCAGTAAAATGGATACTTACTAAATGAGAGCTATGGTCATATCATCACTATTTATATTTTTGCATCAACTCAACTCTCCCTATATCTAAGTTAGGTGACAGATAATTTTCTAGACTAAGTGGAGTAGTGTTGTCCAGCAGAATTGAAGACGGTGATTCAGGTGAGGAGGCCCAGGGCACGGATCCAGTGACTGGGCTTGGACCCAACCAGCAGCTGAGGGCCCACGCTGGAGGCTGCCGAGGGCTGTGGAGTAAGTTAGTTCAAGTCCCAACTTTATCATTGGCCAGATGTGTGACCTGCCTGGGGCTGATGACATTCCCTCTCTGAACCTGTTCCCTCATCTGTCATGTGGAAATAATATTATCTCCTCAGTTTTTTTTTTTTGAGAATTAAGTACAAGTGAAGGTCTAAGCACAGTGCCTGGTCTATAGTAAGTATTTGGTTAATGTGTAGTTGTGTTTGTGTGTTTTGTTCTGTTTCTACCCATGTGTGTGTTATGCGTCCTCTTCAGGCTCAGCTAGCAGGAGGTTGGAGACACCATCCCTGCAGGCCCCCCCCTCGCCCTCCCCTGGTGGGCACCTACCTTTCTGAGAGCTCATTACTGAAGGCTTTCTGCTCTTCTATGTCTGCCCTGGGGTCCTCAGGTTTTCTCTCGGGGCCCACCTCCACTTCTGAAGAGTTGGGTCTCACTGCTGGGATGTCCTCCCCTGGGGCATCAGTCCCCACCACCACCTTCTCGGCTGCTTCCAAGCCTGGGGGGTCAGGCAGACTTTGGGGCACCAGGTGGGCCTCAGGGCCAACCTCCTTGGCCTCCTGGGTGGCCTGTTGGTCCCGAGTTTTCTTGATGCTGGGGCGAGGCATGGTGCCCATGTGGCTGTACATGTCACTGGAGCGGGCATAGGCTGGGGGGCTCTTGGGGACTGTCACCATGTCATCCTGTGTGGCGTCAAAGGTGTCAGGCTTCAGATGAGGCTGGATACTGATGGGGGCCGGGGATCGCCTCAGAGTGAAGGACCGAGGAAGGTTGGAGAGACTCCCAAAGCCCTTGAACTTGAAGAACTCTGGCAGGGGGAAGGGGAGGGAAAGGAGTTAATGACACTGCTAGCAGTAATAATAAGGAAACATTTGTGCTCACTGAGGGCCCAAAGAGGGTTAGGAGCTTCGCTGACATGCTCTCTAAGGGTTATGGTATAATATGGCAGCCCTGGAATCACATAGCCCTGGGCTTGAATTCCACATCCTAGCTGTGTGACCTTGCACAAGTCACTTGACCTCTCTGAGCCCCATTCTCCACATCAGTAAAACAGAGATTATAGTACCCATCTCCTATGGGGAATGGAAGAATTGAAGAAAAGCATGAACTCAGTATGTAAATAACATGCTTAACATGGTGACTGGCACAAGAATAACCTCTATAAGAAGTAACCAAGATGATGGTCACAGTAAATGCCTCTGCATTTGTCAAGCATGCTGCATGCAGTACCTCACTGAAGTCTCAGCACAACTCCAGGACACAAGTTTAATCCCCCATTTTCCAGATGAGGGAACTGAGGTTCAGAGCTGTGAAATGACCCGCCAAGGTCACACAGCCAGGAGGTGAAGCACATATGTGTGTGCCTGTGTGATGTATGTTGGGGGTGGGAGGGGGTGTTTGAACGAGGCTCTGTGAACCTGAGGTGAGGATGAAATGAGAAGGGGGTTGTCGGGAGCCTGAGGGTCCCACTCCCTGTGGTTTTCTCCTTCCTGTCAGCTGAGCCCACGGTTGGTCTGTCAGTCGTCAGTCAGGGACTCAGGCAGCAGTGCTCTGGGTGATACCATCTCATTTCCGCAGGGGTGTGTGTGAATCTCCTCCTCCCTGTCCCCAGCTGTGGGACTGCCCCTCCTCACAGCCACATCTCACTGACTTCACTATAGTCTCCCAGATAAGCAAAAAGGAAAAACCCTGGCATTTTCCACTTCCTCAGCATCCTCTGCCTCCTCAGGTCATCAAAACCACCTTGGAACTTAGATAGGATGCCCCCATTTGACCAGAGAGGAGACTGAGGCCCAGAGAGGGAAAGGGACTTGCCTAGGGTCACAAAGCAAGGCTGAGCCAGAACAAGGGCCCAGGGCTCTGGACTGCTGGGGTCAGTACTCTGGGGCTTTCCTCCCAGCCCTGCCCACCCGAGCTTGGCCTTAGCCTCTGACTCTTGACAAATGCTGTCAGAAAATGCTGAAGCTCTGCTCTGTGCCACGGGGCAGAAATGGTGCCAAAGGCCTCGGAGAGGACCATGACCTGCCTCCTTTCTCAGCACCACTTGTTTTGTCTCCTGGGCACCGGGTGACAGGAGGAAATAGTAGTGGGGCAGGGAGGGAAACTGAGGTGCAGAGTCCAAGGACACAAGAATGAGCCCTGCTCTGTAGCCCTGTATGAGCTCAGGCACGTCCCTGGGTTTCAGTCTTTCCATCTGTGGAATGCAGTCATAATCCTTGCCCAGAACACCCCTACTCCTGTGCTGACAGATCAAAGGAATCAGAAGCTGAAGTCAGCTGGGACCAAACTGGGGAAACAGAGCAATGGGTGGGTGTGGCCCCTAACTGAGTTGCTCTGGGTCCCAGCATCACTGCTGGTAGGGACCTGGGACAGCATCCCATGGCACACACCCCTCCCCCCGCCCCCGCCCCAGCAACTCCCAACCTGAGACCTCATGTGAACCAGGCCCAGAGGGAAGGGGTAGAGTGTGTGGAGGTCTTTCCTGGCCCAGCCGTGAGGTCAAAGGCAGCCAGAGACGGACACACAGAGAAATGGAGAGACCAAGAGTTGGGGTGGGGAGAAGCAGAGAAATAGAGATGGCCAGAGGCAGACAAGGGAAGAACAGAGATGGAGAGCCAGACCATCTGGGGAGAGAGAGATACTGGGCCAGAGTGATGGAGAGATGGCAACATGGAAACACAGACACAGAGACCTCCGGATAAAGACAGAGATGGGCAGAAAGAGAAACAGAGTGACAAAGAAGCAGACGCAGAGAGAGGCTGAGATGGACAGATAGGCAGAAGGATGAAGGACAGTACGAACGGTAGCCCACACTCACTGAACTTTCTGCTGGCCTTCTTGGTCCCTTCCGTCATCTTGACAAATCATGTAGAGCCCCCGGCTGGAAGGCAAGTGGCCACTGGAAGCTCCGGACATCAACGCTGAGATGCCTCCCTCACCTCCCCTTCCCCTTTCTCGCGCCCTCTCACTCACTTCCTCTGTGTATTTTTAAACCAGTGAAACTCCCACAGCCCCACCCTCCCCATCCTCTCCACTGGGGGCGGAGGCAGGGGCCTCCCCCAGTCCTGGCCCCTTGGGCCTCCTCCTTGGCCTCAGCAGTGAGAAGGCAGGGGGCAGACCACAAGCCCATGGGACCTGGAAGGTCTGGGGAACAAACCACAGGCTCTGGGAATGGAGCCCACTGGGTTGGGGGGCCTCTGGGGACCTACCAACAGCTGTCGGGGGTCTGGCCAGTGGACTAAGAGGATGCAGGGAGTCAGGCCTGCACGCAGGGGAGTTTAGTCTAAGCCTCAGTGCTGGGGGATACACTGGCAGTGCTGGACAGGAGAGTGACGTGGTTTGGCCCATTGGCTTGGAAATCACCCAGACCCAAATTCAAGTCTTGGCTGGCCACTTTGTCACCGTATGCTCCTGGACTAGAGGACTCACCTCCCTGAACCTCTGTTTCCTCTCTGTGAGTCGGGGGTATTGACAATGCCCACCTCGCACAGTCCAGTGCTTGGTCCAAAGCCTGGCACAGAATTGGTGCCCACCAAGGCAAAGTCACTCTTTTTTAAGCTAGCAGGGACAGGATGATAATTTGGTCCACCACACCCATTGTGCGGAGATGGGGCAACCGAGGCACAGACAGGCAGAAAGATTGCCCCAGGTCATACAGCGGGTTCGTGGCACAGACTGGGTTACAACTTGCCCTTCCAGCTCCCTTTACCTACTGCCTCTGTGTGTGTGTGTGTGTGTGTACATTCACGTGAGCAGGACAGAGATGAGGAAACGAAACCCCCCTTATACAGGTTGCCCTGACACCTGCAGAGGCTTTCAGCAGCTGCTGGGAGGCGGGGCGGGGGTGCGGAGCTGAAAGACCAGGAGCTTCAGATCCCGGCTCTGAGTGCTGCAGACAATTTACTTCCTCCTCTGAAGCCTCAGTCATCTAATTTCTAGAATAGGCACAAGTTCAAGGTAGAGAGTCAACCTGCAGAGGCTCCAGCAGGATTGGAAATTATTATCCTAGCCCTGGAGCTGGCAACTGAGGCTGTGATGGGGAAGTCCAAGGTCAGATGGGGTCCAACTGCATCCTCCATAAAATAATGACTGCCAACGACTAACGTTTTCTGATCACTCAGTATGTGCCAGCCATAGGGCTAAGTTCTTCTGCTCTAAGAGGCAAATGTTGTTTCTCTTGTCCTCAGATGTGGAACTTGAAGCCCCCAAAAGCCAAGTTACTTAGAATTGGGACCTTCTTGTCCATCTGTGGAGCCTGAGGTCCTAACTTCCATGCTCATAGCTCCTACCACCCTCTGGTAGCCAAATGATTGCCCTGGGTGGGGGAAGGGTCTGCTGAAACTTCTCCATGGAATGAGGGGGGACGTGAGGCCCTGGAAGGGAAAGGGACACAGCTCATGAGACCCAGGCAGCAAACAGGCCTGGGTGACAAGTGTTCAAAGTTCAAATAAAAGGATGGGGTTTCTGGACCATGGACTTGGGAGGAAAAGAGCGTACAACTCTAGCTCTTTCTACTGAGCACTGACCATGAGCCAGGGATGGAGCTGGAAGCCTCCACAGATAGTTTGTTGAATCCTTACAACAGACCTGTGAGGCCACCCTGGTACTGTCCCATTTCACGTATGAGGAATCTGAGGCTAAAGAGGAGCACACTGGACAGACAGATACCCAGGTGTTCTAACTCCCAGGACAGTGCCCCTTCCCATTTCTGGGATGCTGTCAGAAGAGGGAGAGGGGCCTGTGGCCTGGTGGTAGCTGGGGGTCTTCCTGGTGCCAAGTGGAGGGTGGGCCCCCAGTTTCTCTCCCAGGGGGCAGTTGCAGAGATTTGGGCTAACTGCTGAGGCTGTGGCATGAGCCAATGCTGACTTCCCTGCTCCTGATTTGCTGTGTGATCCTTCCATAAGAGACTTTACCTCACTGAATCTCAGTTTCCTCATCTGTGAAATAGGGTCGCAGTAGCCCCCACTTCCTGGGGTTGTCAGAAGGATGAAAGGAGCAAATGTTGGCCCAGGCCAGGGCACTGTGGCCCCAGCACATCCTGGGGGTTGTTGCTGAGGGACATGGGTGGTTCAGGCCAGGGGCAGGCAGGCACAGGCCAGGAAAACCCCAGGGCAGGCCCACGGTGTGAAACCCACCCGGGAGTGGAGAGGCTGTGTTGCGGTGGTGGAAGGGCCTTGTCAGCGCTAGGCTGGCCCTGCCGTTGGCCCAGGCGCCAGGGCAGTTGCCGCGTTCCTGGGAGGATGAATGGAGCTCAGTGTGGCAGCTCAGTGTGGCGGCTTCCCTGAGCTCAGAGCCCTCTTTGTGCTGACTTGAGTGGCCGTTGGGAGTGCGGCTGGGGACCTGCTGGCTGGTGGCTGTCCCCCGGGCCCTTCTCAGCCAGCGTTGGAGGCCAGCCCAGCCCCGCTCCCTAGCCCTGAACACACAAGCACTTTCCCGCCTCTCGGCCTTTGCTTGGGCTGGACCCACACCCAGATGCCACTCTTCCCTCAACTGGTTCCATCTTTTCCTCCACTGAGTCCTTGAAGTCTAGATCGAGCCATCATGCCCCCAAGAACCCTGCTCTGATTTCTGTCCCCTTCCTTCTTGCCCCCCCTAGTCTAGGACACAGTCTGCAATCTGCCCAGGTACCATTAGGGATTGGAGGCTTTCTACATCATGGTCAAAGGCACTAGGCCAGGCAAACCTGAGTTTAGACCCCGTCTACATGACCTCAGGTAAGTCATATCACCTCTCTGAGCTTCATTCTTCCCATCAATAAAATGGGATAAATACAACATCCCTCATGTGATCCTGTGGCAATGAAATAACACGTTTATACTGAGAGCGTCGTCCATCTTACAATCCCTTGTGTATTTATTTGCATGGTCCAAACAGATCTCATGCTCCCTGAGAGCAGAACTAACAAGAGAGGAACTCCGCATTCACGTTGGCCCTGCTATACTGCAGGACTCAGTAGATATCCATCACCAGCTTGACTCAGTTGTCTTATATCCAGGCACATAGCTTCATAGCTCCCTGGCTGTGTAGCCTTGGGCAGATCAGTTCACCACTCTGAGCCCCAGTTTCCTCTTTTGTAATCTGGGCCCCATAATAGCAACCTCCTAAGAGGGTGCTGTAAAGTTCCAGGAAGCTGACATCTAACAACACGGAGTCAGTCACAGTCAGTACCCAGCTAGTATATGCAGAATGTCCATGGGACTGCAGGGCTGTGGGCATCACACGGTCATTCTCTGTCCTGTATCCCCCATCCAGAGACCCCTTCCTTATCTCCCAGACAGACCAGCAGCCAAGACCAACCCAGTCCATGAGCCTTTCTCCTCTCCTCCATATGCCCGGCACCCTGTTCTGGCTTGGAGGAGGAAAACAGAAGGTCCAGGCTAGGGTCAAACAGCTGGCCAGTAGCTCCATTTCCTATTCTGTGCCTCAGTTTCCCTGTTAAGTGGCAGCAGGACCAGAGGCTCTTTCAACCAGTGAACATTTCCTGAGTACTAGGCACATGCCTGGTCTGGCCAGCTTAGCTGATCCATGAAAGCGGGAAATGTTTCCCTCTTCCAGCAAATCAGAAGTCAAAGTCAGCGAGAAACTCTTTCTGGCTTGGACCCAACTCCTTCTCACTTCCACTTGCGTGATCCGGGGTCCCAGGCTTGGGCAGCCTTCTGAAGGGCTTCTGACTGCTCCTGCTTGCCCTCCTCCCCTAGGGATGGCTGAAGGCCCGAAGCCCAGAGGGGAAGTGACTGGCAATGTTCAGGCCACGGATAGAGGTGGAGGTGATGACACCACCGGAACTTCTGCTGAGGCCTCTGCCCACAGGATGTGACTTTGGGAGAGCTTGTGGGAGCAAGCAGGGGCCCCAGCCTGAGAGTCTGACTGTAGAAGCTACCCAAACCCATGGCAGACCCCTCTCGTGCTACTACCCCCTCCCACACTTCTCATGGGCATCCTGGGTATCCAGGCTGGTGGTGCTGTGCCATGACGACACCCTAACTCCACCCCCAGCCAAGATGGGTGGGGTCCTGACATGGATAATTGCTTGGGGTTGGCACCAGACTGCCCTGGTTCAAATACCAGTGTGTCAACTGGCCAGCTGCTTGACCCTGGCCAGGTGATGTCACTTCTGAGTTTCAGTGTCTGTGTGTGTACAATAGAGGTAATAATAGTACAACATTGCTGAGTGAGAATGGAGATAATTCCTATAAAGTGCTAAGTGTACAGCCTGGGCCATTTATTTTCCCTCAGTAAACTGTAATTAGCACAATTATTATTTTCTCCCTCTTTGCCCTCCCCACCCCCAATTTAGCCAATGGCCACCCTGCTTCTAATAGTGTACTCAAGAAGCTGACCCCAGATCACTCCCTAACATGCCTAAAATCCTCACTGGCTCCACACTGCCTTCAGGAGAGGGCTGTCTGCTCCTTGCTTGACCTTCAAGACCCTCCCTGGCAGAACAGGGTCTCTTGGGACACCAGGATCACCAGACCCATTTCTGACCCCTCCAACAAGGAAGCTTCAAGGCCAACCCATGTAAGCTGAAGGGCAACCATGGAGGGCTTCCTGCAGGTAGAGAAGGTACTGGGGTGCAATCAGGGAGCACAGCCCTGATGGTGGGGAGGCGCAGGGAGTTAGGAAACAGTGGGGAGAGTCATGTAGACACAGCGTGGGAGGGGAGCTGGAAAGAGCCTCAAATGTCACAATTTGGTTTTTCCCGAAGGCAGTGGAGGGAAATCCATGCAGACTCCATTTCAGAATGATCTGGCTGGAGCTGCAAGGGGGACAGATGGAGAGGGCAGACTGGGGAGGAGAGGACTCAGGATCCATCGGCAGAGGACTGGAGAGAAAGGGCAGATTGCAGGGGTGCAGAGGAGGAAGAACAGACAGCTTTGTTGGGGGCTGGTTATTAAATAGGGCTGCAGAAAGAACCAGGAAGCTCCTGGAGCCAGGAAGAGATCAGACAGATGCTAGCGAAGGGCCGGGGTAGC